ACAACAATAATGGACAAAATTACAACAGTGAAATATTTACAACAATAGTGAAAAATTTACAACAGTAATTGATAAAATTACAACATCAATAAAAAAATTTATAACAACAATGAAAATTTTATAATAGTAATAGGCAAGATTACTACAATAATAGAAAAAAATCAGTGAAAAAATTACAACAACAACAACAAATTTACAACAATAATGGTTATAATTACAATATAAATGAAAAAGTTACAACAGTAGTTGACAAAATTATAACATCAGTGAAAAATTTATAAAAATAGTGAGCAAAATTACAAAAGTAGTGGACAAACTTTAACCACTATGGGGGTAAAAATATGATTAACACTTTTAATCACATTTGTCATAATATTAAGCAAAATGAAAATAAACTTGACTTATGTACTAGTAAATTTATCTACAATCATTTTAACTTAACCTTAAACTATAGTAAATTTACCCTTGATCATCGTAAACTTTCGCACATATGTCATAAATATTACCAAATAGTCATAATAGTTACAACAACAGTGGTCAAAATTACCATAGCAGTGGATAAAATTACAACATCAGTGAAAATTACAACATCAGTGAAAAATTTACAATAATAGTGAGCAAAATTACAACTTTTATAAAAATTTTACAGCAATAACAGGCAAAATTACTAAAGTAGTGGGCAAACTTTAACCACTATAATAGTAAAAGTATGATTGACACTTTTAATCACATTTATCGAAAAATCTATCCCATTGATGTCATATATTTACCTTTAAATTTGAATTATTATCTACAATTATTATAATATTAACCAAAAGGAAAGTAAACTTGACTTATGTACTAGTAAATTTATCTACAATCATTCTAACTTAACCCAAAATTGTAGTAAATTTACCCTTGATCATCCTAAACTTACCAATAGATGTCGTAAATATTAACAAAATATTCATAAAAATTCCTCTAAAATTGTAAATACATTCATAAATCTGGTATGCTTGGCCACGACAGTGGTAAATTTGCCCTTAATTATGAGAAATATCACCACAAGAGTGATAATATTATCCTTAATGATATTAAATCTAATCATTACGGTGGTAAAAGTATTGATGACTTTTTTTGTTTCAATCAATCAATCAAGCAATACTTGACAATACTTTAAAGCAAAAAAAGTATTATTTGAAACATTTAACTATATTTGTTGTAAATCCGTTTTATAAGTTAAAAATACAAATTTCAATCAACTTGAATCGAATTTTAATCAGTGCTTGGCGCTAGTAACTCAAGTTGAACTCAAATCAACTCAAATTTTAATTCATAAAAAATTTAATAGGTTGAATTTTAATACATAAAAAATAAAATTTAATCAATTCGAATAGAATTTTAATTGGCTCAAATTTTAATATGTAAAAAAATAAATTTTAATCAACTCACATTTTAATATGTAAAAAAATAATTTTTAATTGGTTCGAATTTTAACCGAATTTTATGTAGAAAGATTGTTTTGAGTTTATGTAGGGATAATTTTGATATTTTAATATTAATTTATTGTTAAGCTGATGAATTAGATATTAAATTTTTATTAATTTGATGAACTAAATGTTAATTTGTTTTTAATTTAATGAATTTAGTGTTTATTGGATGATATTGGATGTTAATTTGATGAATTAAATGTTAATTATATAAAATTGAATCTGTATTTTGACACATTGATTGCTAATTGGATTACATTGAATATTAATTGTATGAATTGAATATAAATTGTATTCATGAAATGTTAAATTACTATTAATTTGATGAATTGAATATTAATCGGATTAATTTGGTGCTACTTGATGACGTTAATGAGAACTAGTCAAATTTGATGAATTGAATATTAACTAAATGAGATTGAATGTTAATTTGATGAAGTTGAGTGATAATTTATTGTTAAGTTGATACATTGAATGTTAATTGAATTAATTTGTGTATTAATTTGATGTCAATCAATGGATTGAATGTTAATTTGATGTTAATTTGACGAATTGAATATTTATTAGATAATTTTGAAATTTAATTTCATGAATTGAGTGTTACTGGGACAAATTTGAATATAATTTGGATCAATTAAATGTTAATTTGATGAATTGAATATTAATTGAGCAATTTTGGATGTTAATTGGATGTTAGTTAGTTGGATTTGAATGTTAATTTAATAAATTAAATGTTAATTAAATAAAATTGACTATTAATGATTGTAGGTTAAATATGTCTTAATAACATTAGTGATTGAATATTTATTAGGTGGGTTCTAATGTAAATTTGATGAATTAATTGTTAATTAGAGGAGTTTGAATATAAATTGGATGAATTGAAGTTAATTTGACGAATTGAATATTAATTGGATGAAACTAAATGTTAATTTAGTAAATTTAAAATTTACCACTTGAATTTAATTCTAATTTGATGAATTGAATGATAAGTTTGTGTTAATTTGATGAATTGATTGTTAATTTATTGTTAGTGTGATAATTGAATGTTAATCGATGGAATGAATGAAATGTTTATTGGATGATTTTGTATGTTAATTTGAGAAATTTAATGTTAATTGAATGAATTTGAATAGTGATTGGATGAATTGAATGTTAATTCGATGAACTTGAATATTAATTGAATGAATTTTAATGTTAGTTTGATGAATTCGAAGTTAATTTAGTGTTAATTTGATTAATTAAATATTAATTTAATGAATATGATGGTTGATTTGATGAAATTGAATGTTAATTTGTTGAATTGAATTTTAATTGGATCGAAAATATCATCGTTTGTGATGCTATTACATCGATTTAGGTGAATACCATTATTTAAGGTGAATTTACCACTATTCAACTAATTTTACTATCATTTGGAGTAATGTTACCAATGTATTAGGGATAATATTACAACTTTTATGGTAGTATTATAATGATTTTGAGTGATGTTATTAGTGTTTAGAACGAATTTGTCACCATTTAGTTTAATGATACCACAGTTGATGACATGATGTACATTTACCTTTAAGTTAAGTTTGTAATATTATCCACATATATGGTAACTTTAATCAATACAGTTGTAAGTTTAACTTACACTTTTGTAATTTTGTCTACTATTGTTTTAACTTAATTCTAAACTATAGTAAATGTACCCTTGAGTTATAAATTTGTCCACAGTAATTGTTGTAATTTTAACACATTTCTGCCATAAATTAACTCATAAACTTTGTAATGTGATCTTTAAATGTAATAAATTTACCTAAAGTGCTGGTAACTTCCTTAATTGTAGTACTGTTAACCATAGAATTTGTAAATATGACTTTACTTGTTATAGCTTTAACCAATATTGTGGTATAAATTTTGAATTGTAATATATGACAAAATACTAATATGACTTGTACTATATGACAAAATTCATTATGTTGTACTATCTGATTGTAATATTATATTACAAAACATATAATTTTTTAATCAATACTTGTTTAGGAGGTAAAGGGTTGCCACATTGAAAAATATAAAAATAAAAGGACAATTTGATTAATAGTCCTTATTGATTGATAGATCTAATAAAGGCCTATATTAATTTTTTGGTATGGTACTGAAAAACTCAATGAATGTAATGTAGTCTTCTCCTAGAACAAAAAATAATAATGTAAATTTAGAATACACGTCATCATTCACCCAATTGATGAAATAAGTTTCTTTTGCAAGATTGTATATGAAGATTTAGCATATCACTAATTATTGATTTAGGAAAGAATGCTTATATCATTAAGGGCAAATTACATTTTATGAACGACAAATTATACTTTGACCCCTCAATTATTGTCCATCTACTCACTACCCTCAACTATCATGTTTTTAATATTGCATCTTCAATCATAATTATTTGTGTAACATCATATCAACTATTACATTTGTTACAAGTTGGACATGAACTTGTGTCTCTTTATATTCGAATTATATGATTTTATTTCACTTTATCTTAAAATCTAATGCCACGGAAGCATTTTTCATCCTAAGTTTTTGGGAAAATGTGAAAGTAATCAAATAGAAGAAAATCCAGTGTAAGAAACTCAACAGCTTAGAGAATAACATGAGAAGGGCTATAATTGATGAGCTCAAAATGTAATTTTTCCGATTAGTAACGAAGTATTGGGGATGGGAAACATTTTCACCAACATATTTCAATACCATTAGCATAACCTCATGAGTCATGAGGCTTAACACTGCACAACAATATAACTATTCAGTCCTTGGGGGAGGGGGCATGAGGCATATGGCTCCAACTCAAAGGGGAACAAAATTACCCAATGCTCACAAGGAATAGGGCTCAGTAGTACACGGTCTACTGAAAAGATCCCACGCAGGGCTGCTTCGCTGCTATGCTTGTCCTCCTCTGCCCTTCGTGATTCTCCGATAAATATTTCTTTGCTTGCTTGTGTCAACTACCACCAACAGAACACATGACAAGACCAAAACAACCCTCCACTGTGTCACCCAGCAGTGTAGAACATCAAGAGAGTACAGGCCTTTTTGGTCATTTCAACATGGTTTGCTACAGTAATTAAAGATCGACAGCATATTTATATGTGTGCATGGGCCATGAAATTCCCGAGAGGATAAGAAAGGACGAAGAGAGAGAATCAAAGAAAAAAAATCAGAATCTTATGCCTGGCTGGCACTGGGATTTTTTTTCTAAGCATTTAAATCACACTGAAAAAGTCTGCAACATCTTCTCTCTGTACATCTCTGTATGAATTCCAATTATTTATACACCATAAATGCTACTACTACCCTCCATTAAATATGTCTTGTCTCTATGAGAGTCCTCAGGAACCCTATAAATCTCAAATTTTGGATATTCCACTACAAAAATTAAATAAAAAATTTATATAATAAGAATAAAGCTTAAAAATGAAAGCCGAAAATTGAAGTTCATCAACATATATAAAATTAACCTGAGATTAATCTTCATCAAGGGTTTTTCTGCTAAGGGTTGTAGAAGTGATCACCACACCTGCATTTCCAGCCCAGTGGCTTGTAATTGGAGTACTTGTTGCTTGAAGAAGGTGATGGGTCATAGTAGTCATTGGGTATGGTGAGTCTAGGACCCGGTTGCACTGGGTTGTGACTCGGTAGGGTTGGCACTTGCACCGCCATGCATGGGTGGCACTGATTGCACTTGCTGTGACAACTTGGTGGCGTTGAACCCAACCTGGTTTTCTCTTCAACTAGCAAACCCTACACAACAAATCCAATTGCACCCAATTCAAATTTCAAAGAAAATTCATCCATAGTACATGTTTGTGTGTGTGTGTGAGAGAGAGAAACTATAGAAATAAGTCATACTCGAGAGGGAGAGGGAGAGGGAGAGGGTCCTGACCTGTGAAGTATCTGAAGGCTGTTTTTGCGTGTAGCAAGAGGCAGGAGGAGAGAGAAGATGAAGAAGTGTAATAACTATGGTAGCAGTAGAGAAAATAAATGAGTTGAGTGAATTCATGGTCATGGAAGCATTTCATCTCCCCATGAACAGCTGCAAATGGTCCAAAGGCAAAGTTGGAAACCTTACTGTGGCACTGCCACTTTAACCTTCCCCAACCATAAGCAAACCAGTTAAGAGGGAGAGAGAGAGAGAGAGAGAGTGAGAGAGAGAGAGAGAGAGAGAGAGAGAGAGCTTTGGATCAAGATAAATTGTTCATTGGTTGTGCTGATTTTAAGAAATAGGAGGATGAACATAAAATGAAGAGGTGGGTGGGCCTGGCCTCAATTAAAGAAAGAGAAGTGTTCACTATGAGAAGGCAGAGGCCGCAGAGCAGTGAAAGGAACAAGTCGATAAGAGGAAAACGAAAAATGAGAGTACTGAGCTTCAGAGAGGAAAGGAAAGGACCTTTGGGCCACTCTTCTTTCTTTTCCACTGCTGTTGCTTGGTTATTGTAGCTGTGTGAAAGTGAAAGGATTCTGTGTCTTTTTTGTATTAGTAAACGATTGTCTCAGTGCACAGGTAAAAAATAAGTGTGTGAGTGTGAGTGTGTGTGTGTGTGAGAGAGAGAGAGAGAGCGAGGGGGGGGGGGGGGGGGGGGGAGTAGTTAAAATCTCATTGAATGACGATCACTTTGGTTTCAGGTTTCAGTATCATCAGATTATATATGGGGTGTTGACTGTCATTGATTGAATGAAAGAGACGGTGAGTGAGATGGTTTGCTGTTTTCATGTCTGGACATGATTTTGCCAAGGCATTGCTCCGGAAGAAAATGCATTGACTAATCTCCCTCTCTCCTTCTTTGGCCATTGTCTTTGCACAAGAAGTTCACAGAATGTTTTGAGTTATCAATTGGGCACCCCTAACCATGCATACTTGACCAACAAATGTACTTTTAAGTTGCCAAAAACTTGGTGCCGCGACAGACCCGGATGTTACACCATTTTTGTATAAGTGTAATACTGATCAAATTTTAAAATTAAATTTAAAATTAAAATGATATGACAACCGATTAAATGTTGAGTTCAATTTTAGTAAATGATGTATCATTATAACAATAAATTATATTAATTTTAAGTCTATGTCAAAAACAGCAGTGCAGTAATTATTACACTGTTTGTGTGAGTTTTTTTTTCTTATATCCATATTTGTCTGGATCTTATTTTTTTAAATAAGTCATTTTTAAACTTATTTGTTAAATTTAGTTTCTTCTTAAAAATGTCATTTAAACTGATGTCTTCATAGTCAAAAACACCATTTCAAATGATGTTTTGAACCTTGAGAATTTTCTACAAGCATGAGATATATTTGCCCATAAAACGTTATTTGGAATGATGAATTTAAAGACTTCATTTACGTCATTTAAAATGATGTATTTAAAGAGTTAATTTAAACGATAATCTACTGGTGTTAGGTTAGTAAAGTCGACATGCCTTTTGAAATTGTTATTTCAAATAATGTTTTTAATTTTTTTTTAAGGTGAAAATGATGATGCCTTCTGAAATTGTTATTTTAAAATTGTATAAAGAACAATTTTTCAATAATGTGATTGATGTTCATAACAACATAGAGGTTGACCATATATACATAAACTTAATGGAATAAAAGTGTCTGACGCATCATCATTTAAATTCGAAAAATTAAAAAGTTCAGGATCAAAAACAAGTAACAGATCCTCTAAAATTTAAATCTCGACATAAACAGGATTGAAATGTTTAATTTTTGTATACCCGATTGCATGCAAGCGATCAAATTGATGCTGCTTATGATCATTTTCACGTTCAAGCCTTGCTATGATCTCATCATAGTTATTTGAGTTATGCAGATGATATATATCAGTCGAACGTGTCTTAGGTAGTGCTAGTCCATACCAACGAGAATATACTTCAAGCTTCTAACGTTTTTTATATAACTCTCGCCATTTTCGTGATGAGCACTTGGAGGTAGATAGTAGATCGCTGACTTAACAATTACATGTTCAACATTCCTGAATGGGTGATAAGTGTCGATGAGCTCATTGCGAAACTCACGCTTTTGTCTATACCACATTACACCATCAAAATTTGTATAGGATCCAATAGAAGTAAATATGTTCCACGATGCTATTTGGCTAGTCGAGTGTTGACGTTCATTGGCTGAAGATAAACTATGTTGTCCACTGCGTGATGAAGAATCTTTGTGATTTGGTTGGAGTGCCTATTTGAATTTTATAAAAATTTGACATGACATCACACTGTAAAGTTGTGACATGACTAGGCATTGATGAAGTAATGACATCACTTGTTATAAAACATGATAACAATGTTAAAACAATGTTATAACAATGATAAAACAATGTTATAACAATACACTGATTAATCTATTGCATGACTTGATACCGACAAAGTGGTGATTTGACAATACGTTGATTACATTGATAAAACTATGAAATTACTTAACAATGATAATCACATATAAAGATATGAGATTGAAACCAACATTTGGACACCGAACACAATTGTTAATCTTCATCCGACATATAATCAGTTGATAGGTATTGTTCATTAGATAATACAATATTTTGCCAAATTGTGTCAAAGCTCGTCTATGTGCAGTTTTCACCATGTCTGTTGCTAGTTGAAGCATATAATATCAACATATACGCACCATCATTCTATTATTATCTCTTTAGACATGTTTAACTACTAATTCGTAGTTCTCTCTATTCTTTCGTTGCATTATTAGTGAACGTCTATGTGACATCGGTATGTTAAGTTCTCTTAGTTGTGTGTATAATGCGTCTAACTGACTAGCATGAAATGCTCACTCTCATCGTACTACTACATAATACTCTTTTCGATAGAAAAATCTCTCACTCTTGTAATCATTGTTTCGCTCTTGTAGCAACCAAACCCGTTCACATTTGCAATTGTCATAGATTGTGGAGCCTCTTGATGTAGTCATAATTAATGTTCAATGTATGTCATAAAAACCACACATAAGTTTTTATATAATGATATAAAACCCTGATCATACACTATGAGGGTTTTGTCACTTTAACACATGGGTTATAAAAAGCTAATTCAATTCTTGTGTTACTGAAAAAGCGGAGTTACTAAAAACCAGTGTGTGGTCATGTCGTGCCACAATGTTATGTCAATTCAAACACTAACGTAGTAGAATGATTTAGAAGGCCATAAATTTTTTACTAGTGTTTTTTGTATCAGTAGTTGAGCAGTTTAAGTAAACAAGATTATTGTACAGAATATTGAAATTACTTGATACTATTAAAGTTGTGCTATGACAATAAATGAAGGACTAGGTTTGTCTATATTGGTATCCATGAAAATTTTGGATTTTGTCACTTATACACATGGTTTGCTAAAAATCGCAGCAGTCCATACACACACAGTGTTGTCAACTGTGTGTATTCACTGTAGCACATGGTTCATTAGCAATTGCAGTGTTTTGCCACTTCATCAGCAATTTTATTAATTCAGTGATAGGTCACTTCATCACGTGCTTTATTGAAAAGTCATGTAAGTGTGACAATGGTTTATCATTACATTGATTCTTTGGATCTATTTATTCAACGTGTGTAAAAAACTTATTGTACACAATTAATCTTGAACCATGAATTACAGTCTGAGAACGTTATTTCAAATTTTGGTTCAGCATTGGGCGTTAGTGTATGAGTTCTTCTATCCATTGAACCCTCATTTATGTTATTTAAAGAGGGCCATAAGCACCATGAGGACCGAATTGCAATATCAGTTGACGGAAAGGAAAAATTTTAGTGCAGATATGCGAACTTGCAATATACAAAGGTCTCGACAAATTGTCATTGATATGCCAGTTGACATTCCTCAAGAATTAGAGCGAACATTATTTCGTTTTAATTGAGAACAATCATATGACAATTCGTTTCAATTGGTAAAACCTCTGTTGCATCGCACAAGATCGTGCTAAAAAAGGACTAATTGAAGAAGCACATAGTTTCCTGTTAAGTGGGAAAGTTGGATGTATTTATGATGTTGAAATGTCTAACGAATAAGTAAACCCATGAAACATGATAAATTACTATTGTTTTGTAACATTTGGAGAATATTGTCATTGTTGTGTTTACATTATGTTGTTCTACTACATGTATTGTTGGAAGGTTAGTCTTAATTAGTTTTTTAAAAATAAATTATTTTGAAGTTGATTTAAATGTGTTGTCTACAACATTGATTTTCTATGTGACAACATGAGTAAACACTACAATTAAAATTAAAAAAATGATTATATTAAATCGTTTAAAAATTGAAATTCTATATAGTACAACTGCAAAAACATGACAACAAAACTAAGTGCCGCATGGAGTTGGTTGCCTACGTTGCTTTAGCTGTCATCGATGCTCATGTTTAGTCTCGTGTGGTCCTTCCTATGTCACTTGTAATACATCGACATCATCGCTATGATGTGGATGATGTCCACGACCCCTACTCCAGCCCCGACCTTGTTGTCTGCCTTGAAATCTTGGTCCGATTCTCACATGACCTATGCCTAGAAGTGTAGAATCTTGTGTCAACCCCTCCTTATGTGACATAGGATAGTAAAGGATACTCAATAGAAGGTGTTGTTTGTGATGTGTACTTTAATCTCATTGTTGCATGAGACAACATGGGTGTCAATGTAACTACTGGTGTCACAATTGTTGGCACTACTAGGGCGATGTAGAATGCAATAAGGCCAATGTAGCTGAAGGTGTGCAAAAGGTAACATCTACAACTATAGGAGAATAGGTTACTGCAATAGTAAGGGTCAAAATTGTTGAGATGACTGGTGACGATGCGACATTTGCCATAGATGGTGGTGTTAGCTATAAAGATGTGAAAGGACATGCTACAAAAATAGGTGCCAGTTTCGGTGATGGTGTAGGTGTCAGTGGTAGTGTTGGTTCCTATAGTGGTGTTGGTGATAGAGGTGGTGGTCGTATATGTGATGGAGGTATAGTTGTAGTCGATGGTGGAGAAGATGTAGGAGTAATACGACACACTAGCAGTTGGTGGTTGTGAAGATGTAATAACAACATCAACTGTTGAGACTGGGCAGTTGATGAGCGTATAATATTGCATATCTAACGACCTCATTACATGTATATTGACTCAATTTTGCATTTAATTATTTAGAGTTAATCGAATTTGTGAATAATATAAAAATTTTGATGTTGTAGGTAATCATAGGGTAAATGATGGATTTTAGAACCTTGCAACTAAGTATGGATGAGTGGTGAAGACATGAACACATTACATGAGAATTTTGAGGCTTAAAGTGAAAGAAATCAATGAGTTATCGGTACTTGGTATCATAGGTACCAGTACCCACACCATTTGGTATTGGTACCTCGGTATTCACCATTTTTGACCATGATAAACTTTGAATTTGAGAAAGTACAAAACATAAAAGTTGTAGATTTAGATGTCCTTTGTCTTGTATCAAAATTTCAGCTCAATTAGACAATGAGATCAAAAGTTACGCCAAATTTATGAAAGATGAAAAAGGCCTACTGGTAGAAGACATGCAAGACCAATCGATAGAAGACTTAAAACCTACTGGTAGAAAAGCTTATTACAAAAAACCTACTGGTAGGTTTTATACGTTTTATCGGTAGAAAACGACTCCAGTTATTCCGGGGACCCACCTCTTTTCCTCTAAGTCATACGCTGACATGTTTGACACCCCATGATATTCTTCTAACCCCTAAAGTCAGATTTGAAGTAGGAGAGAGGGGAGAAGCAATAGAGAGAAGATGGGTAGTTGGAAAAGCATGGGAGGACCATGCTTGGACTGAAACTGCTTGTTTAAGTGGACAACCTCTCTCCAATAATTCCAATTCAGCCACACATGCTAAGGGAGAGGGGGATGGATGAAAATTAGAGAGGTCTTACGCCATTATTCATATTTGATATGCTTTTAGAGAGAAAATCTCCAAGGTTAAAGATGAGTTTTTAGAGAGAGAAGCTGAAGTTTTACATTTTCTTCACCATTTTCATAGTAGTAAGCTCTATTTTACTTGTAATCTTTCCCTCTTACACTCTAATCTCTTTTATTCAAGTTATAATCAAGCTTAGCTAAGTTTTTTTGCATTTTCATTTCTACATTTGGGTGTTTCCTCTTCAAGCTTTGTTTTTGGGTATGAATGACTTTACTCTTGTAGTTAAATCTTTTCTTACAACAATACAAGTTTCATATTTGATTTCACTACCATGTTTCTTTACATTATGTTTGTTCTTACTTTTACTATGAGTAGCTAAACTTTTTGTTGGCTAATCCAAGAGAAATTTTCTCTTGGGCATGTGAAATCGACTCTCTTTTATTCTTCCTCGTAGTGTAAAGTGTTTTGTTTGATTAGGTTGAGTGTGGACGTGGTTATGGGCTCTTGATACACCGTAGACTTGTCACGAGGTATACTTTTCTCCAATATAATCACATTAATCTCTCACTTTCTACGAATCAATCAAACACCGAAACACCATTGGTTGAATGAATTGAGTTGATTTGGCTTCTCATTGGAATGATCTCTATGGATTAGTCAACCTTGCTTTATTGCATATTGCTCAAAACACAAATCACAAGATTTTTCAATTTTCATTTCTTTACAAATCACCCTTCAAAAGCATTTGACCTTTCCTTCCCCGAGGAGACAACCTTAGAATACTCATTCTAAGTAAAACACAACATTGCAAGTTCATTCACACGATTTTCCCTACTTCTCGCATTGAACTCGAGGGAGAGTGACACTCACCAATCTCTTTAAGCTATATACACACAATTTAGGTTCGTGTTGGAGGTTAGGAAAAACCATCAAGCAACAGTCCACAAGTCATCGCTGCCCATGGATAGCTGTCATACACCTAGAGCTCAAATCTTTGATATGCCCAAGAGTCTGCATGCAAAGTGTCAAATTTGGGCTCCCCTTATATGTAGTCTGCGTTGTGTGGTATGTCCTAGTAAGAGTTTCTTCCTACAAAAAATAAAAAAATTATTTATTATAGTAAAATAACACATTTAATGCCTATGGCAATATAATAGTAAATCATGTAAGAACAACTTACTAGTTGCTCTATGATGCTCCCGATAGGCTGAAAACCAACAGAAGACCTACCAATCAGTGGACTGACAAGCCAAAGAGTGATGCGTTGATACCATACCATATATGCACCAGTGGGATCAACCGATGCAATAATGACATGTCCTGTAACAATATGATCCCGACAATGGGTCCACATATCTATGTATGCCTGATGAAAAACCATCCAAACCCAACTTGATCTCCCACAATGATTGACACCATGTAGCGCTCTACTAGTATCACAAGCCTCTAGTATGCCTTGCACGAGATTGAACTGTTGCCTAACATGATCGGAAAAATGTCACTCTACAACATAGAAACAAATCAGTGGGGATCGTGTACGTCAAATATCTTTCCCAACAAGGCAATAAGCAGGCAGGAGAGACTTATGACCTCAATAGTATATGACTCTCATATCATCTGCAACACCAAAAGTGAAAACAAGTTTATGAATTTATAAATATTTTTAAAAAATTGCCTGGGCGTTGCCAAAATTTTAATATGTATACAATAGTCCTAATTCATTACCTACTCACAACAAACAACCATTCTACCAACATCCACAAATTCATGGAACATTCATATCATACCAATCATTCATACCAACAACACACAATCATCCACCAAACATCAACAAAGTTTCAAACCCAACATCCATGTCAATAGCAAAGTTTCAAACTATGTTGTTATAACTAAGATTATATACTCGATTGTCTCTCCTATGGTCAAGTTGGGCCTAATAATGATGTAATACATGGGTCGGCGTGTGTTGACCCAAAAATGTGACATCCCATAAATAAAATTTTAAAAATATAAAACAAACAACATTCAAATATTAATACATAGAATGATTATTAATGGTTGATTGTAATTACCCACCTACACCCAAGAAGTTCATTTACTACTTCATCATTATGTGGGACATCTTCATGGCCATGAAATTCAGATGGACCAAGAATTGCCCGCTGTCATTGGACCACACTCAAGAACAATGTGCAATAAATGTTCCTATGCCCATAGCTACACACAATTTAGTTTTTGTAAATTGACACCATTATAGGAAAATATACAAGAAGATACTACAGTGAAAACCATTACTTGAATAAGAATAAGTGAAACACTAATGTTCTTCGCATCACGCTTGGTAGTAAGACACATCTCACAATACAACCATGCTAGGGCCTCACTGCCCCAACTAAAAGTACTGACAAAGTCAAGGTTTACAAGCAATGGTAAGAGCATCAGCTTAACCTTACTCGATGGCTTATCCCCAAACAAAAACAAAAACCCCCCGATTAACAATTACATATAGGCTCAGGCGTAACAGATGATGAAATGATTAGTCACATCTGTTGGGATCGCATGCCCCAAATGCTTAGCCAATGCACTAAGCCTTAGTGTGGACTTATTTATGGCTCCCTCTCTTGGTGTGAACCTGAGCAAATCAATGCAAATGACACACCACTAGTGTACATCAAGAACGATATCCACGCCACATACAAGACTTCAATCGAATGTTTGCTTAGGCAATACAGTTGTATCCTAGAGTGTAATCATGGCCTCACTAGGTGAAAGATGAAATGTGTGTCTCAACGCACCACCGCTCAACAAGTGCGCCAATCTAGCTAGATATATCTAAGTCGATAGGCCCCATAAAATTCAGATTTGTGTAAATGGTGAATAACCCGCGGGTTAGTGATGGTAATTTGATGAAGTGGAGCCTCAGATCGTCTACAATCTGATGGTGGAAAATCAATGCCTTCCCAAATATCATATGTGCGATGATCATGTTGTAATGATAGTGCAAATGCATCCTCTAGACCGAGAATGTACTAATGCTCGCGGATCATGATCCATTTTCACAACCTACATTAGCAAACAATATGAACTTCAATTATGAAACAAGTGGTAATAACAATAATTTACAGATGAATCATTAAACATTTCGAAATAATTAACACTACAACCAATAAAAATGATAAATTGTATGACGCTTGCAAATATATTAATTCTTCAACTACATCATTTGTATACACTACAACAAAAATTATTTTTTGCGACCTTTTTAAATTCGTCACAAAACATATACTATCTGTGACGATTTAAAAAATTTATTGCAAATAATTATTACGGTAATATTTTTTGCGACGTTTTTTTTAGTCCGTCGCAAAAATGTGAGTCCCTCCCTTTTTTCTTTTTTTTTTTTGGCACGAGTAATGGTAGGAAATAAAATTTTTTTTACGACAATTTTTTTTGTCTCAAATTAAATAACCAAAAATTAAAAAATAAAATAAAATAAAAATTTAATTTGCTATGTTTTTAATTTCATCGAAAAAAAATACTATCTACGACGATTTAAAAAAATTTGTCGCAAATAATTATTACGGTAATATTTTTCACAATGTTTTTAATTTTGCACCATGCTCTCAAGAAATCCATTTCATTTCATATGCACGATGTCTTTGGATGTCCTTTAATTCTTTGGTGAAATGACTTATCAGGGTATAATGTAAGGCCATGGATATCATCCCATTAGTCTTGGTGGTGTAGAGGTTGAAGTTCAGGTGTCCAAGTTGAATCAAGTGCTTGGATGCTGAACACCAGATCTATTAAATGCCAAGAGCTAACATGGGAATGCGAACAAGCGGCCATTACATGAGAACAAGGCATTCGATAAATGGCAAACTTCCCACAAGTGCATGAATGCTGATAAATACAGACAACATGTGTATTACCTTTCATTGTCACCACCTCGACCAGTTCCCATTGCATGTGAAATGGTATAACATTACACATTCCTGCTTTGGTTTAGTTGGGTCCATAAATTCGATTGCATGAGGTGACAACACCATACCATTATCTTTGTAAGGAAGTG